ACCTGAGAGTGACCCTGGAGAGCCCACCATACTCTCTATGGAGGGCTCTGCAGGGTCTCAGCTGGGCTGGTCACACCCCTGCATACCTCTTACCTGTCAACCCCGTTACGCTGTCAGACTCCTCCATCGCCGGGCCCCGCCTCCTCCACGGCCAAGGCCAGGCCCCACCTCCTCCTCCGCTGCCGGGCCCTGCCTCCTCCTCCACTGCCATGCCCAGCCTCCTCCTCCGCAGCTGCTGGCTCTCAGACTCAGCAGCGGCTGTGAGGAGGGAAAGGCGCTGCTGCACAGACCACTGACAGGTTGTCAGTGATCTGGATAGCGGCGCGTTCCTCCCCACTGCCGCCAGTGACAGTCAGCCTGTGGCGCCATAGCGACCGAGGTGGCCCGCACATCAGGGGGATCCCTTTGTTCCTCGTCCTGGGCGGGCCCCCCTGTGCCCTGGGCCCCATAGCGGCCGCCTGAGTCGCTATGGCGATGGTTCCGCCACTGTCTGGGATTCTTAGTAGGATGAAATCACATTTTATTGGCTAACTGCAACAGGCTTAAAGTGCACTTTTGCCCAAACTGGACATTTATATATTCTTAACACGCAGTAAAACAGCTTTACAAAATCCCTTATTGATTTCTACTCCCTACTGTGGAGTAAATAAACCTCCATTATTGAATCAGAGACTCTGGTTGCAGTTGGTTTCTGGCCAGCTTAAAGTACCTGCTGTCTCTTTACATTAGAAGGCTGGTAGGCCACCAAATCACTGCTGCTAGATAAAATAGGAGGAGAGGAGTGCTGCTTTGTGAACTTTGAGAATTTATCATAGTTCCTGCAGCTACAGAGATCAATCCGGGCTTTGTTTTTAGGCTGAACTCCGGGATAAGCAGATATTGTCCAAATTTGTATATTTGTGTGAAGCTTTACCTCTGTACAGGAACTTCCTGTAATAAAGACCGGTCACTGCTGCTCTCTCTCCTTGTACAGGATAGCTGGTCTTGTATCCACCACTTGTAGTTTTCTGCAGGCAGCTTCTGGTGGAGCCTGCTGGGTCCCTCCCACAGCTTTGATTTCTGTGCAACACAGTGATATTACAATTGCTAGTTTACATGTTTGCTCCTTTTTTCTTCCAATCTTCTCGAGTTGTGGACACATACCGTAGATGCAGACGGTGTGACATGATGTCAGTGCCGCTCTCTGTTAATACACTATTAAATAAAGACGCCCCTTCTTTGGGGACAAGTCTGCATATGCATGTAACCATTAGTGCAAGCACCACTTGATGCCTTTCATGTCTGGTGACAGATTAAATGTATTACATTTTAATCTATAATGGGTCATTTTATAAAAACATATGTCTTCTGAATCTATTTCTTTTTTTAATCTAACATTTTTTTAAAATTCCATTATTTGATTTCATCATAGATTCAAGTTCATTTTACTTCCATGTCAATTTACTCACTTTACTTTCTTTCTGACTTTACAGCTCCCAGCTAGAAACTAGAAACTGAACTCTGAAGAAACAAGCTTTCTTGTAGTCTACAGACGTCAATGCTAGATGATCATTATGATTGTTTTTTTTTTCTAAATGAATTGTCATGTTGGGTGATTGTTATGATTTACTATATAGAGGCTGCTTAGAAAATATTGGTTTTCTTTATAAGATACCCGTGATAATACTATAAGTTTTGCTGCAATGATCTTCTGTTGACTTCTACCCTACAGTTATACACTCTGAATACAAATAATTCAATCAATGCGTGAATTGCAAAAATAAATCAATCAGAAAATAAATAATGTAATAGTCCTAAATGACATGTAATTATCAGATTCGTCTTATGTTCTTGTGTATGCTTTGTTCTTGCACTGATATAAACACCATAGATACTTTAAACCTGTGGTTCTCAACTGGTGGATCGCGACCGCGTGTTCAGTAGGTCACCGCAGGCCTTCAACTTTTACAAGTGAGAGGCTCCTGAGCCTCCCTCTAGCGCAGCACTGTCAGTTCTATGCCATTCAAAATGTGCTGCCCGGTGCAGAATGTCAGCTTGAGGTGGGGCGGGATGGGGCTATGGCCACGATGGAGCGCCATCCATATGTGCATTGCTTACAGCTCCCTCACGTTCCCTGTGGGGGAACGTCACATTCTGGCTCACGGCACCTCTACCACGCAATCGCACCTTTCGCGCATTCTGATGAGGGAAGTGTGTTGCATTTCCATTAATTTGAATGGCACCACAAACGTACGTCTCACCCACAGTTTGATCGCCCGCACGGTACCGCAAAGCCGTGCATTCCAGTAAGGTGCGACTTGGTTCACGACTTAATGGCCAAGGACAAATTTGGGTCCTGAGGTAACACAGGTTGAGAACCACTGCTTTAAACAGTTAGCAAGGATCTAAAACAAGTCAGAAGCAAGACAAGCTGCAACTGCTTCTAAATTCAATGCCATACACAGCCTTTAGGTGTAGTATTTATTCTTTCAAAAATCAGCTCAGCCAGTATATCTGAGATATATCTTTATATACTGTGTATATATTGTGATGTTGGGGAGCTCACAGAGCACTCGCAAAGGGTTTTGGATAAAACAAAAGCTTTTATTTTCCTTTTGCAGGGCAGCGAAAATGGTAAACACAAATACACGCTTTATCTTCAGCAAACTCAAAGTAAAAAGTCCAATTCTTCGGCACAGATAACAAAACATAAATGTGTCTGAGAGCCCTGGGTGACTACAACCCCCAGTTTTACTGTGGGATTGCCATACAATACCACAACACATATATTGTATATACACGCAGTGGCGTCCCGAGGCTGCGTGTCACCTGCGAGTAGAGACGCGTGCACGTCATCGCACATGCGCAATGGTCTTTTTGGCGCCTGCCGGCGGCCATCTTGGTGATGAACGCCGGCAGAGAGAGGAGTGGACGTTCACCCGGCGGGATAAGGTATGCCGCCGGGTCCCCTCCTCTCTCCTGACACTATCAGGCTCTCGGTCCGTGATTGAGTGCCTGACATTTCATAGGGGGTGATGACACCAAAATGACTGCCTGATCCTCAGTCCTGCTGGCTCCCTCCGGGCTGCCACACTGTTCTCTGCAGCCCGTCCCCTGGGCTCCGACGGTCTAAGGACCACTGACATCATCACTTCTTACGCAGGTTCATTGGCTGGGATTAGACATTAAGACGCCAAGAGACATTCCAAAGCCAGAGCAGAAGGGGAGAGAGGTGAGCGCTGACCCCCATGGGACGGATCAGGTGAGTAAAACTGCTTTATGTGAGCCCCCTAGACAAAACCAGCACTTAACCCTTGCAGTGCATAGGTGACCCCATGCCAAGCGTACGTTTTTGATTTTTACCAGAGTTCTTTAAAACCCAAACTTTTTTTCCCCATTTTGGATGAAGTATGGAATGGCTGAAATTAGGGATGCACCGATACTGTTTTTTCGGTATTGTGTACCGATATTTATATTCCGGTGCTCGCCTATACCGAGCACCGATACCGGTACTTCCGCTAGCATGGAGCCAGCTTCCTGAGCAATCAAGAAGCCGCGTGTCGGGTAATGATATGCCGCCCAGCTTCCTGATTGCCCATGAAGCCGGCTCCATGTTGTTTGGCCAGCTCGATTGTGATTGGCCGTGAAGTGGATTTTAACTAGGGATCCACCGATACTAGTATTGGTGCTGATACCAAGTACTTTGGCAAGTACTCACCTAAATGGCCCGATATCTAACCCCGATACTGGAACTTCCGGTCAGTGGGAGATTTCCTCTGATCGGCAGTGCCGCTAGGGAACATGGAGCCAGCTTCCCAGCCGATCAGGAAGCCGGGTCATTACCCACCTCCTGATTGGCCAGGAAGGCGGCTCCATGCTGTTTGACCAGCTCGATGCTGATTGGCTGGGAAACCGGCTTCTCCGCCAATCAGCAACGAGCCAGCCAAACAGCATGGAGTCGGCCTCCTGGCCAATCAAGAAGCCGGGTGGCGAGTCATTACCCACCACCCGGCTTCCTGACTGGCCGGGAAGGCGGCTCCATGCTGTCTTACCGGCTCGATGTTGATTGGCTGGGAAGCCAGCTTCCCGGTGAATCAGCATGGAGCCAGCCAAACAGCATGGAGCCGCCTCCCTGGCCAATCAGGAAGTCAGGTGCCGAGTGATTACCCCTGACCGGAAGTTCCGATATCGGGGGTAGGTTTTGGAGCATTTGGGTGAGTACGAGTACTCGCCAAAATACTCGGTATTGGCACCAATACGATACTAGTATCAATGCATCCCTACTTCAAATCCATCAGATTTTTTTCTTTGTCTGTGTTCTACTCGGGAGGATTTCCTAAAGGTTATAAAATGTAATTGCAGTATGTGATGCCCATTACCCCATGGTTCCCAGCCTCGCCTGGCTTACTCAAAAACCCAGGACCCCAAAAAATGCTCTCAGGATAGTGACCTGGATGACCATAATGTGTACTTCTTCCTCGCCACAGCTTGGAGCACTTTCAGGTTCAGAGCTGTCAAACCCCTGGCACTGTGGCCAGGTAAACACAAGATCAGGGACTTCTGCTGAGGCAGACATTAGGGGTCTAATAGACCCATGGAGGAGGTTTTATCAACACTGGAGCAGACAGAATCTGGAGCAGTCGCCTATGGAAACCCATCAGCTCTTTTCATTTTGAATTGGTTACTATGGGCAACTGCTCCAGATTCTGTCTTCTCCCGTTTTGATAAATTCTCCCCATGATGAAATATATAACTAAAGTTAAAAAAAAAGAAGTCTACCACCCCAAAAACATGCATACACATCAATCAGCATTATCTTTGTCTTTACTACGCATGCGCAATACCTTTACCCTTGAAAGTCAGAGGCACAGGTGTGCCCTCATACAGAGTCTCGCGAGAAAAACACGGCTCGATGGTTTCAGGCATCACAAGCTGCTCGTCTTAGCGCTTACTACGTACTTCCGGCTTTGTCCCGGTCACATGACTTTGGCTGGGAAGGCCATCTTGCCTGTAGATTGCAGTGCTGTAGTCGGCATCGATGTGATCTGCGTTCGCTGGTGGATGCCTGTGTGGTGTCGGCTCTGTTTGGTGATCGGGGAGGCGGGTTCGGGCCGGATGGTGGCGAAGTTAGTTTCCCGCATTTCTACAGCGCGGTTACCGCCAGGCTCCGTTACCGAGTACTAGAAGGTTGCTGAAGGCCGCTCGGGTGGAGGTGAGTGCAGTGTGTAGGCCGCGAGTTCTCTATAGGCTGGGAACTGAAATGGGGGGGGGGGTTAGGGGTCTCTTTGGGTTTGTGCCCATCGTGCGCTCCCTCAGGTGATGTGTACAGTGATCGCTATACATGTGTTGTATGGCGGATCGCTCTATATACTGCAAGGTTCAGCATGGCAAGCTTGTAGAAACGACCTAACTCAGAATATAAGTACAGGGTGGGCTTAAAGTGTAAAGCTTTCCCATACACTATGCAATCTGATTGTACAATCTCCTATGTAATAGGACTCAAACAATCTGTGTAATAAATCAGACAGGCCCTTGTACTACATAGTTGCTTGTATAGTGTATGGCCAGTATAAGGGAGTACAGGTAGGTGTGTGAGCAGAATCTATTACTCAGTACAGCTCTGCCATCCACGCCGCACACATCCCCGTTTCCTCTACCTAAGGAAACCCTGTCACCAACTTAAAGGAGAACTATGGGGTTACGGCTTTTCCCCATACTTCTCCTAAGGGAAACGGGAGGACACAAACTAACGTCCTCCCGTCATCCAAAGCTCAGTATACTGAGACGCCGCAGCCGGGACAGATCCCGACATTACTGTCTGGATGCACCCAGCTGCATGAGTGACCGCTGGCTCTGCCTATCCAGAGGCAGAGCCAGCTGTACTCGAGGGGGAATCCCTGCAGGGAGATGACTGACAGTCACAGCTCTCTGCAGGGAGATGATCGAGATGTGAGCGAGCGACGGTATGTGTTCGCTCACTTCCCGATCTATTGAGCTGACGTGTGACAGTTTCATTGTCACACGTCGGCTCCAACTATGAGGTTGAGTGATTTTCACTCTCCTCTTAGTTCTCCTTTAACACATTGCAGATAAAAGCACAGAGAAGTCAGGGATTAGAAATGTTTGTTTGCAGCGTCTTTCCTGTCCATCAATTATTTGAAACTGCTCCAGGAGGGTCAGTGTTATAGCCCCGACCATTCCCTCCCTCCCTGCCTCTCCTCTTCTGGGAGTGTATAATTAGTGTCTGTGCTGCTCCAGCTCCCCTCCTCCCCACCACATAACCCTTTTCCATGGGGATGAGATAAGGGCAATACTATAGAGCAGGGGCGGGCGACTGGCCCTCCAGCTGTGCTTTGACTGCAAATCCTATCATGCATCTGCCTCTGAGTCTTGCAATGCCTCATGGGACTTGTAGTTCCACAACAGCTGGAGGGCCGAAGTTGCCCGCCTCTGTTAGTGTCACTTGAATGACAGCTGAGTCATTCAAGCTAATGAATGACAGCTTGAGTCATTCAAGCTGATAGCGCATCCTGCTTGCAAATAAACGCACACAAAGGGCATTGTGTGTCTGTGCGCGTACCTCGAGTGACGCCACCATCATTCTACTGTGTGATATATTGTGGTAGCTGGGCAGCAGCGCTCTCTGACGCACACAATGAGCATTAATAGGGTAAGTTCACTTTCACAAGTCATTTGGGAAAATGGAATAACCCGCTCAAATCGGAAACTTTGTTGAATATATTTTTCATGAATAGTCTCTTATTTTACTAAACTGCCATTTTTTTTTTTTCACAGCGCCAATCATGGGGATCAAGGTTCAGCGTCCTCGTTGTTTCTTTGACATATCAATCAACAATGTTACAGGTACAAGTCAAGTTTTGTCCTGAAAGAGGCAAGGGCTAGAGCATCTCAGTTTATCTTTAGGTTACTTTAATTTCTGTACTGGTGAAATGAAGTGAGGGGAAATCTCAATAGTCACACATCCTCCAAAAAACCTTGACCGAGAAACCAACCCCTCCTCATATCATCCAAACGTTTGGGTTTGACCTTCTCTTTAAATGACATGCTAGCGTCTTAAAAGGCTGAGGGGCTTTACTGATTAGGTATCCCTACCCAGAATTCCCTGCTGTGCACAACGGTGTTGGTGAGTTTTAAAGTGTAGGTCCACTTTTGCAGTCAGATTTGAGAAATCCCCTCCATAAGTTTGTGTGTTCCCATTCACACTCCATACCTAAATAATGATATGAAATATAAAAATAGACAACCCCCAATTCCAAAAAGTTGGGGCGCTGTGTAGAATCTATCTAACAGAATGCAATGATCTGCAAATCTCATAAACCCGTATATTATTCACAATAGAAAACATGTGAATATTTAATCTGCGAAAATGTTCCATTTTAAGAAAACAAATAAGGAAATTGGCAGCAACATGCGCCCAGTTCAAAAGCCGGCATCTCTGATGGTATGGTGCTGCTTTAATGTGCGTTTGGAATGGGCAGCTTGAACATCTGGAGAGGCGCCATTAATGCTGAAAGATATATATCCAGGTTTTAGAGCAGCAAATTCTTCCATCCAGACTGTCTTTTTCAGGGAAGGCTTTTTATATGTCACAGGAGAATGCTAAACCACATACTGCATCTATGACAGCAGTATGGCTTCATAGTAGAAGAGTTCGGGTGCTTCAAGGAGAACTATGAGGTGTGCTTTTCACTCCCCTCATAGTTCTAGCCGACCTGTGACAATGAGACTGTCACAGGTCGGCTCAGTAGATCGGGAGGTGAGCGAACACATACCGGCGTTCGCTCACCTCTCGATCCTGTCACGGCTCTCTGCCATGACAGGGGAGGGGCTGGATTCTCCCCGCTCCGATCCGCCAGCGCTGACTGTCGGAACGGGCGGGGGCGGGTACAGCTGGCTCTGCCTCTAGATAGGCAGAGCCAGCTATCAGTCACGCAGCTGGGCGGATCCCGGCACAATTGTCGGGATCCGCTTCAGCTGCGGCGTCTCAGTATACCGCAAGCTACAGCTCGCGGTATACTGAGCCTAGGGTGACGGGAGAACTCTAGTTTGTGTCCTCCTGTTACCCTAAGGAGAACTATGGGGAAAAGCCTTAACCCCATAGTTCTCCTTTTGACTGGCCTGTCTGCAGTCCAGACCTTTCACCAATTGAAAATATTTGGCACATCTTGAAACAACAAATATGACAAAGAAGACCCAGGACTGTTGAGCAGTTTGAATCCTATATCAGGCAAGAATGGGACAACAACTACACCATGGTAAACATGGCCCTGTCCCAACTATTTGGAGACGTGTTTCTTCCATCAATTTTAACATTACCTTATTTTTTTCTTAAAATGGTAAATTTTCTCAGTTTAAACATTTGACATGTTTTCTATTGTGAATACAATCTGGGTTTATAAGATATGCAAATGATTGCATTCTGTTTTGTTTGTAGATTTTACACAGCGTCCCAACTTTTTTGGAATTGGGGTTGTATTTATACCTTTTATAAGTTTCTTTGGTGAAGGCCTTTGTGTCCAGGCTACTCTAAGTAGTTTGAAAGTGAAACTAGAGGGTCAGACTGAACTTCCTCCCATTATCATCATGCAATGCCTAGAATTCTTTAAACCTTTGTCAGGACAGACGGGGGAATTGATCAAAACTGGAGCAGTTGCCTATGGCAACCAATCAGCTTCTCTCCTCAGTTTGTTCAATTAAGTTTTGAAAATAAAAGTTAGATGCTGATTGGTTGCCATGCGCAGCAGCTCCAGATTCAGATTCAATTTTGATAAATTGAAGTATAAAGCACTTAGAACTATAAGCAGCACTTTTTTAAAAAAAAGTTCTGATATGTGAATGGGAACCTGTACACAGAAACAAATATAAAATAGGTGTTCCCCCAATTTGTCTGAATAAGTGGAAATACACTAAAACAGCCCACCCGCCCCTGAGAATCTTTCCAAATGCACAACCCAGAAATCTGTCTGCCAATTCTTTCCTTGTGTTGAAGTTAAGAATTCACTTGTACATGTTCTGTACATCGCTGGTTATGTGGGAAAAGGGCAGCCATTTAATTTGAGGTTCTTGGTGGATGAATGATCATCTCCAGAAGTGAGGCAGTGGCTGGTTGGAGTCTGGAGTTTATTGCTTTTAGGAACAGGTGTTTATGTTTTGCTGGCTGGCTTCCATTTTGTTCTTTGTTATCCATGTAGCCTGGTGAAATGAGTTTCATTTGTTTCCTTTTCTGTTCTTTGTTCTTTTGCAGTTGGAAGAGTCGTCTTCGAGCTGTTTACAGATACTTGTCCAAAAACCTGTGAAAATTTCCGATGTCTCTGTACAGGTTAGTTAAAATGTTTCTAAGTTGTTTTAAAAAAAAAAAAAAAAAAAGGGAAAACACATTGAGGGGAATTTATCAAAAGTGGAGCAGCTAAAATCTGGAGCAGTTGTGCATGGCAACCAATCAGCTTCCACCTTTTTTCATTTTCAAATCCTAACTGAATAAACTGGAGAGAGAATCTGATTGGTTCTCATGTCCAACTGCTCCAGATTTTAGCTGCTCCACTTTTGATAAATCCCCCCCCATTGTCTGCTGTTGAACATGTTCTCAATAAAATGGCAGTTTCTTTTAAACTGGGGCTCTACTTTAAATGCAATCAAGTGCTGCGACCACTTAAAAGAGGTACTGTCACCTTGCTCCTTCAGGGTAACTTGCCAGAGTCTGTGTAAAGGTCCCCCTGACCCAGTTTTACTTACCTTGTTGGCACTCCATCACCACTTCTTTGCCTACAGCCAGTGTCAGCTGATGTTTGAGGATAAAGGGAGCTATGGTGTCACTCCGACGGCCTAGTGACTGGCTGCAAGACCCAAGTCACATTGTAGGTCACATGCTGCCCCATACCCCAAATGTTCTGTGGGGGGAATTTATCAAAACTGGAGCAGACAAGATCTGGAGCAGGTTTGCACTGCAACCAATCGGCTTCAGTCAGTCAAAGTATCGCAGCGCTGAACACTGAAAAATGGCCTGGCCAGGAAGGGGGTCTAAACACCTGGTCTTGAAGTGGTTAATTTTCAAATCTTACTGGAGTAAACTGAAGAGAGATGCTGATTGGTCGCCATGGGCAACTGCTCCAGATTCTGTCTGCTCCAGTTTTGATGAATTCCCCCTCTGTATTTTCACCAACTGAGGTCGTGAGGGAGCAGTGTACTGCATGGACCAGTCAACCCCAGCCTGTGACTGAGAAGAATAATGACTGCAGCCTCAATCAAGACCAGTGCAGCAGCCTGCCTTCCATTCACTGAAGAGCAAACGCTGTTGCACTGAACTATTTAGTTCTGCTTATGTAATTCCATAGTATGATTATCACTGTTGTGCACAGAGCTGAATACACTATTATAGCAAATTGTATAAGGCTATTGAAAGCTGTATTGTGTTTAAAATGGTGTACTGGTTGCAAAGTAGATGAATAAAGGTATGTTTGGAGTTACCAGCCAGTACAAGAAACAACAAAACAGCACAGCAGACAAGTAACCTGAGAATGTTATCAGGATTGAAGATGTGAAGTATGAGCGCTGCTATATCCCTGTTCAGGGACTCCTGAACTAAGAGAAATCTAGAGGCTTCCATTGCTTACCTACATCTGAAAATGCCGGTTGTATCGTCAGTGGGAAGTGCAAGTCTAGATCTTTGCATAGAATTAGTTACAGTAAACTCCCCGTTATCCGGCATCCGCGGGGATTGGTAGATTCCGGATACATTTTTAGTTTCTGGTTGCTTGACAGTTACTAATAAAATAGGTCTAACTAATGCCATACCCCCATACTATACCATAACATAAACTCTGTATTGACTTCATGATAATATTGAAATGCAATAATCAAAAGCAAATTAAGATAAATAAACACACAATTTCCAGGATAAAACATGCTGCAGAACAGAGTACACAGGGATTTTTTTTTTCTGGTTAGATGAGAGTTCTTGTTAGTTGGATACCGGATCACAGAGTTTACGTATTAAGGTATTAAAGCCATTGGGTCAGGTTAAAGGAGAACTATGAGATGAGTGCTTTTCACTCACCTCATAGTTCTAGCCGACCTGTGACAATGAGACTGTCACAGGTCGGCTCAGTAGATTGGGAGGTGAGCGAACACATGCCGGTGTTTGCTCACTTCTCGATCCTGTCACGGCTCTCTGCCGTGACAGGGGAGGGGATGGGATGGATTCCCCCTCCCCGATCCGCCAGCGCTGACGGAACGGACGGGGGAGGGTACAGCTGGCTCTGCCTCTAGATGGGCAGAGCCAGCTGTCACTCACGCAGCTGGGCGGATCTCGACATCGATGTCGGGATCCGCTCCGGCGTCTCAGTATACCGCAAGCTATAGCTCGCGGTATACTGAGCTTAGGGTGACGGGAGGACGCTAGTTTGTGTCCTCCTGTTACCCTAAGGAGAACTATGGGGAAAAGCCCTAACCCCATAGTTCTCCTTTTAACCACTTCAAGACCAGGTGTTTAGACCCCCTTCCTGGCCAGGACTTGTATGGTGACAGGCATCGCTGCCTGTTTTTAAAAAACGGGCATTTCCCGCGCGCGCCGCTCGGGGGGCGTGTCTGAGCGGACGTCTAAAGACGCCCGCTCAGATCTAGAGAGCTCGGGCCGGCCGTTTTTTTACTACGGCCGGCCCGGAGGTGGTTAAGAGCCAGGAAACTATCTTCAGAAGGGAAGGTCCACACTGGCAGCCTCCATACTTCCTCACTTCAGGTGTCTTTTGTTTAAATAACCCCATATGGGATGTGATCTTAGTACTAGGAAAGCATGGAAACTTTCTGGCTGGGATAGTTGAAAATCAAAGTATGAGATTCCTACATGAGCACAGTCTGGTCAGATCTTTTGTTTTTCATGCAGACATTCTGTAGTGACCAGTTCTCTTTAATGATGGTCTTTGATCTGAGAACCCCTGTGATGCAGATGTGATAATCCCATATATTACTGCTCTATTTACTGTCAAGAAATCCTCAAAGTGCTCATCAGTGCTTAGACATTTATTCAGTTTCAAGCTTGCCTTGTTTAAATGAGAGCGGCAGTGATAATGGAAGCATGGAGGAAGTCATCTAGGCAAAATAATCTTCCAGTGACCCTGCAAAGTGCCTACAGTTCTGACCAAAGTGAATTGCAAAAACTGATGTAGGTTGCAGTGTCGCCCAGATAGCATTAGTAGCTTACTGATTCCTTCCCTTGTTGGCTAGAATTGCTCTTAAAAGGAAATGTGCACTGAATATGGATGATATCTTTGCTGCTGAACTCCTGATGCTTGACTGCCATGCCAATCCAGTCATGAAGCAGATCTGCAGGTCAGAAGTTGTTACAGCACTTTGACATTCTAGTCTGTATGCTTGGGTCAAGTCAATGACTTGGAAAATGTCTGTGAAGGTTCTCATTCATCCAGGTTCTTTCATTCTGAATTGAGAAAGCTGGTCGGATGACCAGTGAAACGTCTTCAAGAAAAAAATACAGCAGGTCCAGTTGCCTTGACTTATTTTTTTACAGATAGTGACTAGGAAAGTATTAAAATCACTGTTAGCCAGGCAGCTAGAATTTTTGGAAAGGTCAGCAATGGTATGCCCTGTATATCTCGCTGTAAATTTTCCTCTACTTTGTTAGTGGTGTCCTAATATACCGCTAGTTTTGTATGTGTCATGATTTTATTGACACCTGGAGGACCAGATTGTGCGCTGACATTTCCATCTCGGCAGTTAGTCATTATGTGGTCCATGATTCTTGGCAAATATATAAGTTAATCTCTATTCTGTTTTTCTATTTAGGTGAGAAGGGTATTGGGAAAACCACACAGAAGCCATTGCATTACAAAAACTGCTTGTTTCACCGAGTGGTGAAGGATTTCATGGTTCAGGGAGGAGACTTTAGTGAAGGTAATGACCGTTGTTCATGTTTTTTTGCAGTTTTTACCTACAAGACTAATATGTAACATACATTGGGGTGGGCAAATTAGTATGGAAATCGGGAACCAGCAGGATGTTTTTTTTAGTTGCCAGCTCCATTGACTGCAACTATTCCAAACTTTAGGCACCAGCGGTAAATTTTAGGAGCATTGGCTCACTGGCTCGTGGAATTTGTCTAGCCCTGCACGAAGGTGATTCCTACAAGAAATACAGTCTTACAAGCCTTTTTTTGGCAGATGTTTTTAGCTCGTGTGGCACAGCATGGGTATTTTATATGTCAGTATTGATATTTCAGCCATATGGCATAAGGCACTTTAATTACAAAACCTATGACAATTGATGCATTACGTTGGGGGGTGTTAAGGCCCCGGATATTGGGTTATGACACTGTCCTAACTTTTCTTCATAGTAAATTGTACATAATAGTGCAGGGAATGCTTCAAGTAGTATTAAACTCTCAAACTTTGTTTCGTAATGAATCCAGATCAAACAAATATAAATTGCCCAGTAAAGCATTGCTTTACATTTTTGCCCAAACACTTAGAAATCATCATGCTTCTGGACAGCTCCTTCCAAGTCTTAGCTCGGCTTCCATGAACTTCCTGTCCAGTACAAAATCACAAAGGACAATCGACAACTGTTCATCTACTAGCTTGGCGGAAGGAGGGGGTAGCTTGATTTTTGCTCTGTGTGTTTGTGGAGACACACACAGCTTACTAGCACACACAAGGGTGACTGCATAGCACTCTGCTTGAGAAAGGAATCACCCTAATAAAGGATGTCAGGGTCAGTGCTCAGGGGACCAGCTGATCCAGTAGCAGCATCCATTGTAAGTGATATTTCATCAGCATTTGAAATAAACTGAAAAATCACTAAGCATGTATTTTCTTGTTTTACACGTTTGTTCTTTTTGAAGGGTAAGTCTACTATTTTTGTGTGGAATATGTATTTATTTTTTATTTGTACAATATTAGGAAATGGAAGAGGAGGAGAATCGATATATGGAGGATTTTTCGAAGGTAATACGATTCAAATGTTGTATTTAAATCTTGAAAAACAAAGTATTTAAGGTTCAGTGGGGTGTATCCAATATGTACACCCCTAGATAAAGGGGGAATTGGAAATCTGTGCTGCACTGTTTGTCGGTATGCACACTTTCACAATTG